AGGAAGGAAGGAAGGAAGGAAGGAAGGAAGGAAGGAAGGAAGGAAGGAAGGAAGGAGACCGTGCTTCCGGAGGGCCATGTGTCAATAAAGCCTCATTGATAGACATGGACAGCGGGCCCTGATTCCCAAGCCCTGGCTCTAAGATGGATCCCATGTGGGTAATCTACACGTGGCCTGTACAGGCCTCGGGCTCACAGCCTCTCTCCCACAGACACACTGGTGGCAGTGCTGGAGCGGGACACCCTGGGCATTCGTGAGGTTCGTCTCTTCAGTGCAGTCGTGCGCTGGTCGGAGGCTGAGTGCCAACGGCAGCAGCTTCAGGCAACACCTGAGAACAAGAGGAAGGTGCTGGGCAAGGCCCTGGGGCTCGTCCGCTTCCCCCTGATGACCATTGAGGAGTTTGCCGCAGGTAACAGACTTGAATGGCAGCCGCTGCCTCACGACCTCTGCCACCCATACCCATCAGGCTATGATCTCGGGACACTGCTTGCGACTCTGGGGTCTCTAGCCATGGGGGCCATGTCTTATCAGCCACTCAGGATTCAGTTTTGGGCGGGACTCAGTAGGTAGATGAGTAGCCTGGCGTGCGTGGGTTTGGGGTCTGCCGCCTTCCTTGAGCCCTGGAAAGAAAGGCTCTGGAAAATGCAGCGTGGTGAGACACTGTGAAGTCACCGTCTTTGGCCTAGGAGCCTGCGCATGGACCCTGAGGCCAGGTCCTGACTGTGAGATACCCCACCCTGAGGCCAGGTCCTGAGTCTGCCTTCCCTTCCTGCTGTCAGCCAGCCCTCTGCCCGCAGGCCCGGCACAGTCCGGCATCCTGGTGGACCGGGAGGTGGTCAGCCTCTTCCTACATTTTACTGTCAACCCCAAGCCACGTGTGGAGTTCATTGACCGGCCCCGGTGCTGCCTGCGGGGCAAGGAGTGTAGCATTAACCGGTTCCAGCAGGTGGAGAGCCGCTGGGGCTACAGTGGAACCAGTGACCGCATCAGGTGAGACCCTGGCAGCTTAGGTGGGAATGGAGTGGGCAGCGGGGACTGGGCACACGGTAGATGAGGCCTCAGTCAGCAGTGGGCAGTGTGCCGTCGCCACAGCCCCACGGCCGCCGCTGTTGCTGCTTCAGCTGGGGACAGTGTCCATCTGCCACTCACTTCCCTCCGCAGGTTCTCGGTCAGCAAGCGCGTCTTCGTGGTGGGCTTTGGGCTCTACGGATCCATCCACGGCCCTACTGACTACCAAGTGAACATCCAGGTAGGCTGCCAGCCCTTCCACGCAGGCCCCTGGCCATGCCACCAGCCTGCCTCCTAGGCACACCCCCACACAGTGTGTTCCCACGTGTGTCCCATTAGGCTCTCGCTATGCCCCCAGCACACCCATCTTCTTGAGCCCGTGCCCACGTGCCCAGGCCACACCCCCATCAGTCCCTGTAGTTCCTGCTTGCCCAGCTCAGACCCTGGCAGCTCTGTAGCCTCTGTCCCTAGATCATCCATACGGACAGCAACACGGTCCTTGGACAGAACGACACAGGCTTCAGCTGCGACGGTTCTGCCAGCACCTTCCGTGTTATGTTCAAGGAGCCCGTGGAGGTCTTGCCCAATGTGAACTACACTGCCTGTGCCACGCTGAAGGTGGGGCCCGTACTGCACCCGGGGACTTTCTTGGTCCTGGTCCCTGCAGGCTGTGGGTGCCCCTCTGTGGGTGAGAGCGAAGGCCTGGGGCACCCTGACCTCTCTATGCCTCCCACCCCCTCCAGGGCCCGGACTCGCACTATGGCACCAAAGGTCTACGCAAGGTGACCCATGAGTCCCCGACCACAGGGGCTAAGGCCTGCTTCACCTTCTGTTACGCAGCTGGGAACAACAACGGCACGTCTGTGGAGGACGGGCAGATTCCCGAAGTCATCTTCTACACCTAGGCCATCCACCCAGGTCACCGCCAGCCACAGGGCTGCCTCCCTCCCCACCACCTCCCACATCATCATGGAAGGGGCTGCCTGTGTCCACTGTGACAAGTGTGACCGCCTGTCCCACGGCACTGGAGAGGTGGTTAGGCCACGGGCTGGGCCCTGTCAAGACAGTCCCTCAGTCTTGGGGGCAGAGTGCCTGGCCTTGGATGGACAGCTCTCAGTCCCTGAAGCCCAGGGCAACAGGCCAGCTCCGAGCCGGGTGCTGTCCAGCCCCTCCGTTCTCTGCAACTGCACATGCTATGCACTCGAGCCCACACTCGGCTGGAGCCGCATCGGGTCTCTCCTCCAGCCAGCCGTCTGGGTTCCTTGTCCCTTCCCGGCTCTGCTGCTCTATGGGGCGTCCCAGGTCTGACCTGCGTGCTCTGTTGGCTCCTGAAGCCCTGGCCTTCTGGGCATGTATACAGAGTCTCTGGGGGCTCTGCCCCAGGGTGTGTGACATGTGGGCCACGGTCCCTACTTCTAGCAGCAGCAGTGCCTGGCCAGCACTGTCTATCCATCTGAAGCAGACAGGCTCTCACTGGTGTGTATGGCACAGCTCAGCCGTGAGCCCACAGGGCCCGAGCCGTGGGTCAGACCTATTGAGAAGCACTGGGCCTGCCAGCCTCATGTGGAACCCAGGGGACCACAGAACACCCTCTGACAGGCCACCTCACACCCACCCAGTGATGTTCCAAAAGGCGCAGTCTCCAGTTTGGGGTGTCACTTCCTCATGTCTCTGTACCAGTGGCCTCCTGCCCAGAACCCTCGCCATCCCAAAGCCATGGGAGGTGTGCCCTCCACACTGTATCCCCAAATGAGTTTTTTTTTTTTTTTTAAATAAAAACATCTGCCTTGAAGCACTGAGTGCCACATCCTCTGAGTGTCATGTGGCTGGGAGCCAGGTGCCTCAGCCACCCACGCTGTCCCCTGAGGATACCCTCACAGTACCCCAGGAGAGCAAAGAAGCAGGCAGCCAGGGTCAAGGTCCTGAGATGTGCACTGCCACCTCAGTCCCTAGGAGGCAGAGGCTGGAGGTCTGTAGTCCAGGGCTAGCCTAGGGTACATGATACCTGGCTGGTTTCCTGACAAAAGAGCTTAAGAGATGGTTCAGTGATTAAGAGCACCTGCTGCTCCCGCAGAGGACCCATGTTCCTGGCACTCGTGTTGGGTACCTCATAATACACACATGCACACTCATGGTTTAAGATAAAAATAAAACTTTGCTTTTTGAGACAGGGTTTCTCTGTGTATAGCCCTGGCTATCCTGGAACTCTCTGTAGACCAGGCTGGCCTCAAAACAAAGCCCCAACTGTTTTAACTGCATTGTACACATGTGTGAGGCCGGAGGACAGCTTGCCAGAGTGAGTTTTCTCTTTCCACTGTTGGGTCCTGGGGGTGCAGCTGCTCTTGGCTCTGGCCAGTAGGAGACACCAATTGAGCCATCCTGCCTGCTTAAGTGGATTTTAAGTTTGTGTGTTGTGTCTGTGTATATCACACTATGTGGGTGCTCATGGAGTCTAGGAGAGGATGCTGGCTCCCCAGGAACTGCTAACACATGTGCTGAGTGGTGAGAAACTGGGATTCAGGTCTGATATGGCATTTTTTACTGTCATATCTCCAGCCCTTTTCTTCCTTTCTTCCTCTCTTCCTCTCCTCCCTCACTCCCTCTCTCTCTTTGGTTTTTCGAGACAGGGTTTGTCTGTGTAGCCCAGGCTGTCTTGGAACTCACTCTGTAGACCAGGCTGGCCTCGAACTCAGAAATCCACCTGCCTCTGCTCCCAAGTGCTGGGATTAAAGGCGTGCTCCACCAATGCCCCGGAGCCTCTTATTTTCTTAAGGAAAAAATTTTCACTTCCATCATCCCTTCTTCCAAGCACCCTTTATAATTTTATTTATGTGAGTACACTGTAGCTGTCTTCAGACACACCAGAAAAGGACATCGGATCCCATTACAGATGGCTGTGAGCCACCGTGTGGTTGCTGGGAATTGAACTCAGGACCTCTGGAAGAGCAGTCAGTGCTCTTAACCACTGAGCCATCTCTTATAATTTTGTTTGCTGGGTGATACCTGTATAAGCATGAAGGTCTGGAGTCTATCCCCAGCAATGCAAAGGGAAACTATCCCAGCAAGCAGCAAGCTTACTTCACCCCCCCCCCAACCCCTTCAATTTCCTTTCTGCTCCGGCAACAGTCTTCCAGCTCACACTCCTCAGGGCTTGGCTTCGGAGGCGGCTTCCAGTCTGCAGCTGCGCTGTGCAGACCACTTCCCTGGCTGGAGGTGTTCCATCTTAGCAGGCCTGCTGCTCAGACCCAGACCTGTCCATCTGCTTGGGGACTCCTGGGTCCCTCAGGTTTGGAAGCAGCAGCCTTTCTGTCCCACTGGGTCACCAGTCTCTTCCATCTTTCCTGGGGCAGACAGTCCCCAGCTCCCTCAGTATTCCCTTGGTTCAGCTGGGTCCTTGTCAGCTCTTGATCACAGACTGGAATTTTCTATCCTATGGATGGTAAAGACGGGGCCAACAATCTGGGATAGTTTTCTTTTCTTTTATTTTTTTTTTTTTAAAAAAGCCCCTAAACTCTACGGCTTCAAGGAAGCGCCGGAGAAACATAAGTTCATTTCTGTACACGTTGTAAAGCAAGAACTCGGCTCCCACGACCAAGGCCTGGCCCTCCCGTGGGACTGCCTGTCTGTTGCCCCGGGCCGGGCGTTAAGGCGATTCTGTCCCGTGGGCCCTGCACGCAGGGACACGAGTCACAGCCGCCCTGGCACTGTGGGGCCCATGCCAGTCCCTGTGCGGTGACCATCCCGCGCTCCGCCCCGGCTTTGGTGCAGCACTGTGCAAGTGCACGCGCCTCCCCTTTGGTGGCTGAGGCCTCCCCATGTGACACCCATGCCCCCGGGCCTGCCCCCCTCGAGAAAATGGCCTTTGGATTGAGGGGACAAGCTGGACTTTATGAGCTAACAGGGGCGCAGCAGGGACGGCGCAGCGCTTCTCTCCTGGTTTTAAATAGTTAATGCTCTCGAAGGGGATGACGAGACACGGGTGTAGAGATTTCCGCCAGAGTCCTGTGTGAAGGAAGTGACCCCAAGTCCCGAAAGATGGTGCCTGCAGGTGGGCCAAGGAGCCCCACGCAACCACGGACACTGCCAGCGTCCTAGACACCCGCCTGGGGATCTTGGGCAGCGGCTGCAACCACCCTCACTTATGTCGCTGCAGCGATTTTCTCTTTCTCCTCTTGAAGAAGCAGCAGCACCTGCACAGGTGACAAGGGCGGTGACGGGTAATGTGGGGATGGTGACCTCGCGGTTGATGGGGGCAATGGGGTAAGAGGTGGTGATGGGGTTACCAGTGGCCAGCACGGGCACGCGCAGCCACTGCACCCTGAGCCTTACTTGGTTTCATCCGCCACCTCTACTTCTGCGGGGGCCGCGATGGGGGCGTTGGAGTGGCCCGCGGTGGGGTCGTCTGTGTTCAGCTCTCCATTAGTGGAGTTCAGCGCCTGCAAGACGGTGGCTATCAGCCTAGCACCCCTGCCTGCTCTGCGACGGAGGTCACAGGACCCTCCGGCCCCGCCAGGATGGGGCCCCAGGCCCGGCTCTCACCTGGTTCTTGGTGTGGAGCTGAGCTTTGTCGCGATGTGGCGGCTGGGAGGGCACGTCAGGGTGGACGGTGCCGATGGGTGTCGGCTGCGAGAGCGGATGTCAGGACAGGATGGAGCCGCAGGTGTCGCTGCAGCCCCAGGACAGTTCCTGACCCGCGCCCTGGCCCCGGCCGCCCCTCACTGTGGAGAGGTCGGCCCCTCCCACCGAAGCTCCCACCCGCGCCCGACTGTACACCGGGGTCTGTGTCACCACCTGCACTCCTTCACCTGTGGGCATCTCGATCCGAACCCCTTCAACTCCTGAGCTTCCAACACTTGTACGGCACCCACCCAGGGCCTGGGCTCACTATGGAGATGCCCACCTAGCGCGCCCTCACACTCTCCCGTCACCTGCTCGTACCAGGGGCTTGCCGGCCCAGTCATACTCGTAGTCAAACACGTAGCCGCTGCGGTCGAAGAGGTCGGTGAAGAGCTTCCTCAGGTAGTCGTAGTCCGGCTTCTCAAAGAAGTCAAGGCGCCGCACATAGCGCAAGTAGGTGGCCATCTCCTCTGAGGAAGAGGGCCAGGGGTGTGGTCACACGGGGAAGCCCAGCATGCAGGGGGATGGCTCTGTAGGCGTGGCCACACGAGAGGGGCTCTAAGGGGGCTCCTTACCCGGGAAGCTGTCACACAGCACCTCGATGGGCGTGGCACGCTTGGTGTCTCCAATCTTCTGGTAGCGTTCCTTCAGCGTGTCCGCCTGTGAGATGTGACCGTAGTGTTAGCCGGGAATCAGCACCCAGAGTGCAAGCCCGCACCCCATTCCCCGACTCGAAAGGCCCCACCCACCTTGAGCCCCTGCCAGGGCAGACTGCCGCGCAGAAAGTACATGAACATGTGTCCCAGCGCCTCCAGGTCGTCCCGGCGGCTCTGCTCTGCGGGGACAGCACTGGCTCAGCCTCAGCTGGGCCCTGCCTTGCCCCGCCCCCTGCCCGCGGCGCGGCCCCGCCCCCTGACCCCGCCCGGCCCCGCCCCCTCACCCTTGCCCAGGTGCGTGTTGATGCTCATGTAGCGCGCCGTGCCGGTCAGGCTCTTGTGCTCGCGGTACGGGATGTGCTTCTTGGTCTCGGGGTCGATGTACTCCTTGGCCAGCCCGAAGTCGATGATGTGGATGGAGTGCTGCCGCTTGCTGCCCGGCCGTCCCACCAGGAAGTTCTCGGGCTTGACGTCGCGGTAGATGAGGCTTTTGGTATGAACGTACTCCATGCGCGTGATCTGCGGGTGACCCGAGTCAGCGGGGGCTCAGCGCCTGCGCCCGGGCCCGCTCACCCCGCCCGGGCCGCCCCAGCCCTCCGCACCAGCTGGATGGCGATCATCAGCACCGTCTTCAGCGTGAAGGTGCGGTCGCACAGGTCGAACAGGTCCTCCAGGCTGGGCCCCAGCAGCTCCAGCACCATGGCGTTGTACTTCCCGCAAGGGCCGAAGTAGTAGACCTGAGGGACGCCCTCTGCGAAGGAAACATCCATGCTGGGTGTCCCGAGCCCCTGGCCGCCTGGGCGTGCCGGCCCGGCGGGCCCCGAGTGCTCACCTGTCGTGCTGAGCTGCTTGTAGAAGCGGTACTCGAGATGCAACTGCGGGGCTCGGGACTTGATGGGCTCCTGCGGGGCAGAGGACTGTTACCCCCTCTTCAGGCGAGGGCGCAGGGCAGGGCAAGGGCAGGGCACACTCACCAGCTTGATGGCCACGTACTCATTTGTATACAGGTTCTTTCCTGGGGAGGCAACAGACAGACGCTTAGGACTGCAGCCTGCCCAGCCCACCCGGATCCCAAGGACGTGCTCTCCTCAGAGCCGGTCAGAAGCACGTCGAGTGTCTCCTCCCACTGGCTGGTAAAGTTCCTCTGGCCACAAGTTTCAACTGCCCAGGAATCCGGGCACTACACCTGTCTACTTTCATGCAGTCATGGGGAGACGTCTCCCCTGGGTCCTAGCAGTCACGCCAGAACCCATCCTCACTTTGGAGGCAGCCCCACAAAGACACACATACTACCAAGATTGCTGGCTGAGGGGACGCAGACCCCGTGGTGCTGATACCCCCCCACCCCCCGTAAATCCAGCAGTAGGCTCAGCCTCACTCAGTCAGCCTCTCCTTGCAGGGCTCCCATCTGCTGTCTGAGCACAGCCCGGGCCCTCAGCACCCTGTTTACCTCAGCATCACTAGTCACAAAGACCATCTCTGGCCACGCCCCAGTGGCTGCCCCTGCCACGCCTGCAGAGAAAGGCCCTGCATAAGGCAGCAAGCAGAACCACTGGGAGGCTTCTGTAGCCAGCTTGTACCTACAGCTGCCTCAGCCGCTGTTAGGGTCTCTGTCCCCAGTCACAGCCAGCCACCCACCCACCAACTTGTGAAGAGCTCCCCCCCAGGCTGCCTGAGGCACAGATAGCCCTTTGGAGGTGGTCTCTAGCCACCTGCAGGGATGCTCAACTCCCTGCTTGTCCTGGGTTTCTCCATCTTTATCCAGCTGCCAAGGATATCAGCATGCAGCCCTCTCTGAGCCCACTTGTAGCTGGGCTTGGCTCTCTCTCTGCCGGTGATGGCCTCCTAGCTCCTGGGATCCACCAGGGCATGCCAGGTTGTGTAAGGTGAAGCATCATGGAGTTTCTTCTAAGAGGAGGCTCAGGGACAGTCCAGGTCGCCATGGGTCTGGTCTCTACCCCCCCACCCTGCAGGCACCTCAGATCTCTCGGGTGAGCAGCAAAGGGCTATCCCTTGCAAAGGAGGCAGGGCCTGCAGTGTGTTAAGCCAGCTCTCCTCTTGGAGGGTTTGTTCAGGTCTCTCTGGGGCCTTGGCTCGCATATGCTGGAAGTGGGGCTTACCCAAGGGAGCTCTAGTCTCCTCAGCTGCAGCTGACAACACTTGTTATAAGCAGATGTCTCTTAACTTTAACCACCTCAGGGTCACTCTTCTTCTGTGGCTATCTCTCCTGGAGTTTTCACTGATCCAACTCTGCTCTGCTCCTAGCCTGCCTGGAACCTGAGCCACGACCTTGGGAGACCCAGGTTCCCTGTGCGTATGACAGCACCAGAGGTACGTATGACAGCAGTGGAGGAGCACCCAGGGTGAAGGTGCAGAAGCACCAGTCGTGTAGGCGTGGCCATTCTGAGCCCCGTGCAAGTGTGCCTCCTCCTTAGTGGAGAGCGCCAGCATGCAAGCTGCCAGCTTCAGTTCAAGCCTGAGCCCCCAGAATCCACAGGAAGGAGAGAAATGAGACTCCCCAAAGTTATCTCTGACTTCACAGGTGTGTGTGTGTGGCATGTCTGTTCCCCAACAGACACACACTGAGATGTTTTTCTCAAGTGTGCGGGGGACTGGGGACCTGGCTGACTCAAGTGGTTAAGAGCACTGGCTGCTCTTCCAGAAGATCTGGGTTCAGATCACACATGGGGCCTCACAACAATCCCTAACTTTAATTCTAGGGGACCCAGTGGCCTCTTTCCGACTCCCCAGGTACGCACACAGTACAGTGACATACACACAGACAAAACACCCATAAACATAAAATACAACAAAACTCTAAAAAGTGTGTGTGAGGAGAGAACTGGGCATGGTGCACACACCTTTGACCCCAGTACTCGGAAAGCAGAGGCAGGAGGATCTCTGTGAGTTCTGGCTTGCCAGGTCTATAGAGTGAGTTCCAGGACAGCCAGAGCTATAGGGTGGGACCCTTTCTAAAGGGAAGCCGGGCGGTGGTGGCGCACGCCTTTAATCCCAGCACTTGGGAGGCAGAGGCAGGCGGATTTCTGAGTTCGAGGCCAGCCTGGTCTACAGAGTGAGTTCCAGGACAGCCAGGGCTACACAGAGAAACCCTGTCTCAAAAAACCAAAACAAACAAGGAAAAGGGAGTGAGGGCACACACAAAGGGACCGAATGTGGCCTTGTAATCAGAGAAGAAAGCTGCACAGACGACCGGCTTCAACTTCCCAATTTAATGAACAATTATCACTCTACAGATCCAAGGAGCTAGTGGCTCAGGCCGGATCGCCAGACCTCACAAGAAAGGCATGGGGCGGGTGGAGGGTGAGGGCAGGGGGAGGTGGAGGGGGTGGGGCGGGTGGAGGGGGAGGGCGGGGGCAGGTGGAGGGTAAGGGTGAGGGCAAGGAAGCAGCTCAAGCTCACCAGGGAAATTAGCACCTTCAAAGCTCACTCTAACTTTGTGGGGGCAGGGGAAGGGAGACAAGGTCTCACTGTATAGCCCAGGCTGGCCTGCCCCTTCTGAGAGCACCTGCCCCAGCACCCTGAGTGCTGTGAGGCTGGGTCTCAGCAGGGGCTGGACTCCTGGCTGGCCTCACAGGAAGCACATTAGCACTGAGGTGCTAGTTCTGACCTAGGTTAGGGTGTCAACCACTGACAAGGAGTGCTGAGCACCCGGGGGAGGGGCTGGCCCTGCATTCCAACAAAGGGCAACTGCACAGGCTGGTGGCCCAGACTCCACTCCTAGCAGGGAGAACAGGGAGCAACAAGCACCTGCACACAGCTCCCTACAGACAGACCCTGCACAGGATGCAGTGGAAACCCTTTCAGGACTCTACTCCTAACCCTGCACAGTGACCAGGACGGGAACTGTGATCGACTGCCAGTTGTCTGAGGACAGGACTCCCAGAAGGCACTGCTGGCCATGTGCACATGCATGTATTTATTTAGGGCTGCAGTTTTTCTTTTCTTGGTTTTTCAGAACAGGGTTTCTCTGTGTAGCCCTGGCTGTCCTGGAACTCACTCTGTAGACCAGGCTGTCCTGGAACTCAGAAATCCGCCTGCCTCTGCCTCCTAGTGCTGGGATTAAAGGCATGGCCACAATGGCTGGCTTCAAGGTTGCAGTTTGGTGTCTTATTGTGTAGAACCACGTTTCTGCGGGGCCTCAGGAGACACTGAAGCCGCAGGCTGCAGGCAGAAGGCGCAGAGGCCCAAGGCACAGCCCTGGCCCAGGACTGCAGAGGCTCTGCACCAGGATGGGCCAGAGCAGACCAATGAGTGCTACAATAATCTGCTCTGGGAAAGGAGGGGAACTGGAGGCCATGACACTGCTGTCCCCTCAGTGTGGCCAGACTCTGTCCTCCAGACTGTGATCCTCACTGGCCCAATGACAAGTGTCACCCCACTGTCTTCTAAAGCACAGCCAAGCCTCCCTGGGAGCACCTCCCTCACATGACCACTCTGGGCAAGGTCTGGGACCTGAAGTACACAAAGCCAGGTTTCCTCCTTCCTCCTGAGGGCCTAGAGATGGACAGGAGATGGGACGGGAGACACAGGACTCACCGAGGCGAAGCTCCCCGAAGTTCCCACAGCCTATCTTCTTGCCGACTCGGAAGTTGGGGCCCACCATCAGGACCCCTGAGCTGGTCCCCGAAGTACGGACACCGTGGTTGCTCCGATTTGTGCCGGTTTTGGACATTCTCCTACCCTCCTCCAGCTCCCCCTTCCCTCCTTTCTTGTCAAAATCCATAAGTTTGTGGTACCCTGGCCTCTCCACGGTGACTCTGCCGTGAGATCCGAGTGCGAAACCTGAGCTCGCGCCCGGCCTAGTACACCATTGCGCCCGGTGGCCCCTTGGCTCCCGGCTATTGACACCCGGGCACGCTCATAGGCCAGGCCGAGGTGCTCATCTTGGTGGCCTCAGGGTCGCTTGCAGAGAGAGAAGACATTCTGCCAACAGGTCCCACCGCCTTAAATCCTGTGGTGCCCAGCTGTGAAGGAACAGAGGCACAGGTCAGAGGGCAGACTACGTGACATGCCCCCAGTGGGCTGGTACAAAAAGATCTTTGAAGGTCTGAACAGGATTGGTAACAGTCCTGCCTGGAGAGTGCATCTCTCCCTGTGGGAAACGTCCATGCCCTGCTCATTCTGGGATAGGTCAGAGACCACAGCAAAGGCTACTGTGGTGTGACCAAATGCAAGCTGAGAGAACTTGGAGACTGGGGTGGATGGCTGGGGTCCTCTAACTTGCCACACGACTATGCCACCAAGTGGCTGAGCAGAGGACAATGGAAGGCTAAGGCCAACAAGGGGATCCAGGTAAGAGGCAACCCACAGTCCAACCACACGACCAGCCAAGACAAGGGAAGTGGCAGATGGCAGAATGAACAGTGTCCACATAGGGACAGGAGCCACACCTGACCTCAGAGGGCAGGCAGAGGGACTCCACCTATGCTGGGTGGTACACAGTGTGCAGCACTGGGTGAACAGGGAAGGCTTGGGAGGCCCCAGGCAGTGAGCGTGGGCCCCTCATCCACACATGGATCCTTTAGCATCCAACAGGGACTCTCCTCAAGATAAAGGGGACCCCTAGAAAACCCAGGAGGTATGGGGCCGTCTTCCAGCTCAGATTCACACTGCAGGGGCCTTGACCCTATGGGGTACGTGTCCCACAGCAACGCTTACCATGAGTCTCTACAGTGTGGACAGTTAGCTATACCACAGGCCACCAAGGGTCTGAACCCCACCTAGGACACAAAAACACCCGAGGACAAGACAAGCCATCCTCAGGTCCCATTCTTCCTCACCATGGAGATCATGGGGAGGGGCTCCTAGAAACTGCACAGTCTCAATGGGCTAGGCCTGCTCCTGTCCCTCTCTCATCAGGGCACTCAGTGACAACGTGGGAAGCAGAGGAAGGCACACCTGAAAGCCTGGCACCATGCGATGCCAGCACTGTGGCCGTAAGGACAAAGAGGAGACAGGTGTGGACTGGGGCCTGCCGAAGGACCTGTGTGCCTACCAAGGCGGGTGCACAAACAGGAGACTGGCAGGGCTGTGCCCAGGCCACAAGAACCTGGGAAAGGCCACAGAGCAGAAAAAAGCATCTGCCCTTCCCACTCCCCCAGGTATCACTCAGAACAGCCCCTTGGAGCCTCTGTCACATGACATGGCTTCTCTTCCCATTAGGAAGGACTGACTGGGAGGGCAGAGTGCTCACCCATTGTACCGCAGGCCCTGGCCCATCTCTAACACACAAACAAAACATGGGGGCGCACACTCAGCATGTTAACATGCAGGAGGATCTCGAGTTCAAGGCCAGCCTGAGCTACATGAAACCATTCACAAAAACACCACAGGCCAACAAAATGATGGTTCAATGGATAAGGCTTCCTGTGCCAAATTTGATGACCCATGTCTTGTCCCTAGGGTCTACACTGCGGAGACGACTCTGACCTCCAAACACACGGGTAGTACAGACACACCACCCTATGCGCACTAAATATAATGTGGTTTGCTAAACTGCACGCAGAGGCACTCTCAGGGTCTAGCACTTTGCCCTCAGCATCCCTGCATCTATCTGGAGGCACCATTCAGGGACAGACAGAGCCCAGGACTCTAGCCATCACCTCAGTGTGATCAACTCACACACAGGGAAGGGTCAAAAAGGGTTGGAGGGTGTACAGGGAGCGAGCCACTCCCAACACTTGTGTCCTGCTACAGAGCTGCACACACCTCAGTCCCCAGGAAGGACATCACCTGGGGATCGGGTGTGTTCCCCACCCCACAATGTCTAGACTGCCCACAAGCGCACCCTTCACAACCCACAAGTAAAGAGGCCACCATGGCTGGGTAGGGCGATGCATGAGCAGTGGCATCAGAAGACCGTAGAGTGTGGACACCTTGCTGTGTCAAGTGCAGGGACCTGCACGTCAGGAAAGAGGAGCCACCTGCTCATCACACACCAACATGAGGCTTCCTAGGTCACTAGAAAGAGCAGGGCTTCTCTGAGGTTCAGAGAGAAAGTACCCAGATGGGGCTTGGCCTTGCAGCGCCCCCAGCAGCAGAGGACATCATTCTTTGTTCTGAGGAGGCCAGGGATGGGCCCACTGTGTCTTCCTCAGCCTGGTGACCTGCAGAGCTGCCCACAGCAGGCCCAGAAGCCCACCTATGATGTGTGGAGGGCAAGACCTAGGGGGCACACACACTGCCATGGTCTATTCTAGGGACTCAGGCCAGCTAGGATTTGCACAGTGGGAATGGGGCACCTGCAGGGCCGCACTGGGGGACGACAACAACTGAGAGGCAGAGGAAGGGTCCTGCACAGGGTACCAAGCACAGGCGGGCTCAGAGCAGGCAGGCTGCAGGAGGGAGCAGACCCTGATGTACCGTTGTGCCTTTCAACCATGGCCTTCCTGGCCAGTGGGTGTGCTGCCCACGTCCTGAGAGGACATAGCAGCCAAGTAACACCACAGAGTCACCTGTGCATCTACTGTCCCCATGCATCCTACAATATAGTTGGGGACACCACAATAGCCACTACCAGTCTTGTCAATCCCACGGGGCCAGGAGAGGTGGCTAGGCAAAGGAGGCCATGAAAATTGCCATGAGACAGGGCCATGACAGTGTGGAACGGTGGGCATGACCTGAGGTCACCATGACCACCCAACACATGGACCACTTCTCCTCACTCACAGGAACAACTAGGCTATGTGGCCAACAGTAGTGCCCAAGAGAGTAAGCACATTACAAGACAGCTGTCATTCCAACACGGAGGGCCAGCAAAACAGGCAACTGTGGTACCAGGCAGCTGTGCTATCTCAGGTACACCTGGTGACCAGAGACCCAGAGAAGAGGAAATGCCTCTAGCCCTGGTCCTGGTTAAACTGTGGAGCTAAAAATAGAGCCCTTGGAAGGAGGGCAGGGCTCCCCAGTCCTAAATAAACCCTCCCTGGTCTGACCCACAAGGCCCAGAGCCCAATTCTTTCTCTATATGAGGCTATCTCCAGAGGTGAGCCCAGGCTCAAGGGAAATGCTGGGCTGGCCTGCGTGACACTAGGCCACAGAGCCAGCTGCATGGTGCCCACTGCTCAGGGAGCTGGCTGACAGCAGGCTGGACTTCCACCAGAGACACACAGCCCTCTTTGCAAGGCCCCAGCACGCACCTGCCCTGTTCTTTTTGGGGTCCCCCATCTTGCTGGGCCCCTGGCTGCTCCTCTCCCGGAGGCCCCCAAGCCCCTTCCCTGCATCTCCACTTAGTGATGTCACAGTCCCTGGCTGACGTCATTGGTAGTTCCCAGGCTAGACCTGGCACTCACCTAAGGGGACAAGCAGGGACAAAAGCCACCATGAGAGCCCTGCAGTGGGCAGGGCTCTGGGCTACAGCTCCAGAGTTATGGCACATCGGCACTCCCAGCACTGAGCATCCTGGAACACAGCTGGAGAAACTTGCGGATCAAGCCAAGCTAGGAAAGAAGCCTGACCAGAAAGGAGGGGGTGCCACCTGGCCAGTGGGCAAGCGAGTCGTGCACCAGGTCAGGACCCGATGACCAGAGATATGCACCATCCTACAAGGATGGTGACAAGGGCAGAGGGAGAGACCCTGAGACTTGCACATGCCTGCACAACGGCCAGGGGACTTCTTAGAACCTTGTCTTTGGAGGAAGGCACCTCAATACCACCACGGGTCACCTGCTCCTGGTCATGAGTTACTGTGCCCACAGGTGCAGGGAAAAGGGCTGGGGTGGGAGTGGGAGGAACACCGCGGCTGGGCTCTCCTGGGCAGGGGCAGTGGGGCCATGCCAGTGTGGGCGGGCAGGGGCCTGCTGCTCTGCATGGACCTCACCAACAGTGCCCAGAAAAGGGCGGAGAGCCTGGGCCATAGCCCTGGAGAGACCTGTGTCAGTGTGACAGTGAGAGTCTCAGTCATCTGGGGGACCCATCAACCCCAGCCTCAGCGACATGAGCTGCAGGGTCCACAGTGCTCGAACACACTAACATAACTTGGGTCAGCACTGCCACAGGACAGCACATGGACCTACTGGAAGCTGTGGCCGGGCGCCCTGAGAGCCAGTGTGCACTCTGGAGAGCAAAGAACCACAACCCTGCTCTCCATTCTGTGCCTGAGGACTAAACGGCTCCTCGGCATAAACCACGCCCCCACATTAGAGCAGATGGTGTCCCCGGGTCACCAGTGACTTCTGCACCCATGTGGTTGCCATAGGTGACGTGGGACACAGCGCCTCTTGGGTTCTGTGGAATCTCCTGACCCATGTCTTAGCAAGGGTGACTCTGGTCCTAGGAAACTAGGGGCCGTATCTGGGGACATGGGGCGGCTATTACCATGAGGGGGCTCCAGCATGGAAAAGAGTCTCGAGGCTCACCAGAGCCTAGCGCCACGCAGTATCCACTGCAGAGCCCAGTGGGGAGCCAGGCTCAAAGCTAGGCACAGCCCCACAGATGGAGTGACGGAAAGACACGAAGCGTGGCTCGGTGAACACATGTAAATGGGCATGCACAGGCATCGACCATGGCCCACGGCCTCCTGTGGTGGTGCCAACAATCACACACGAGAAAGGACAACTCAGCCAACAGCAGATCCTGAGGTGAAGGTGGATTGTCCACTGGGAATTTTGGAAGTGTCACCAGGAACAGTCACAAAAGAATCTGTTGGGCCTGGTGAGATGGCTCAGTAGTTAAGAGCATAGACGGCTCTTCAAGAGGTCATGAGTTCAAATCCCAGCAGCCACATGGTGACTCACAACCATCCGTAGCAAGAGGGAGAAGGGAAGGGGGAAAAAAAAGAAAACAAAAACCAAAAATATCTCTGTTGATTTTCTTTTTGAAACAGAGTATGTAGCCCAGACTAGCCTTGAACTTGCCACATGCCTCAGTTCCCAAGCACTGGAATTCCAGGCATGAGCCAGGGTAGACTGATTTACATATCTATATTTTGTGTTTGTGTGTGATCGTATTCCAGAGGCTGGTGTTG